GGGCTGCCAGAAGCTGGAAGAGAAGAGGAAGGATTCTGCTTTAGAGCCTCCAGACGGAGTGTAGCCCTGCTGATACCTCAATTTCACACTTCTGGCTTCCAGCACTGCAAGAGAATACATTTGTGTTTTTTAAGCCACCAGGTTTGTGGTAACTTGTTATGGCAGCCTTGGGAAACTAACACAGGGCACATAGGCATAGACAACATTTTTGAAAACTGTTAATTATGCATGCATTCTTGATTTATTGTTTGGTTGGGTATGGAATTCTAGTTGCAAAATAAGGATTTTTTATATTTATCTTTCCTGATACATTTATAAGTTAGCATTCTTCTCTAATTAAGAGCTTTCTCTGTCCCCTCTTTGTGTATTTTCTGTTTGACTATCACACTATTCAATGTGTATCATCAGTTCCTATCATTATTCAATGTGTATCATCAGTTCCTATCACTATTCAATATGATGCTCAAATTGCCCCCAATTTTAACCAGTGAGAACCCCTTCAAGTTGGCTTTTGTGTCTTTTTGATATGTTCCCATAAGTCATTTAGCTCAAAGCCCATCATGTATTTTCTCTCTGTCCCACCTCTGGAACCAGCCATTTCTCTAAGAACTGGACCATTTACTGGGGAATAGAATTTGGAAACTAAGATCTGAGTCTTATCATGACATTCTCCTTTCTTACCTTTCATATATGACTTATTTTTTTAATCTCTCTGGAATCTTTTAGGAATTTCTCCCTGGCCCCATCCAGTGTTCTGAAATTTCATGATAATGTGCCTTGGGTTTGTTTTTCCATTTCTTGTAGCTTTTTCAGTCTAAAGACTCAGCCTTCAGTTCTAGAAAATGGTCTTCAGTTATTTCTTCGTGATTTTCTCCCCTCCATTTTGCCTGTTTTTCTTTCTAGAACTCCTATTGTTTGGATGTTGGGTTTTCCAGATCTTTTTCCTCTTCTGGCCACGTCTTCAAATATAATACATTATTGTATACTGATTGCATATAACAAGGCTCAAGGTAATAACAGCTTTACGGTTGGTGAGACTCTAAGCCATATAATGTAGGGGACTTGGAGACAGCCTGTGTCTCCCTGAAGCAATGGTGGTATATGAGAGATATGGTGTAATGGAAAAAGCAGTGGATTGAAAGGCAGACAAATGTTTTCTACCCTCAGTTCTGCCACTTACTAGTTTAAGGATTGTGATAGATTGTCTACAGAGGTGGTTGCCAACAACTCCTTCCTCTCATGTAAACATATGTCTCTCCCTTTATGAAGAGGTGGAATCTATTTCCCCTTCCCTTGAATCTGGGTTATATGACTTCCCTTAATGAATGGGATGCAGCGGAAGTGGCACTGTTCCACCTCTGGGCCCGGCAGCTTCCACTTTTACTCTTGAAGATCAGTAACTACCCTGCTGGAGGGAGGCCCTTATGGATCTTCCAGCCTCATTTGAGTCTCCCTAGACAATGCTAAATAGACCAGAGATGAGCTGGCTCCATGAACTCTGCCCTGTGTGGAATCATGAACAAATACATCAGTGGTGGTTGTAAGTTTCTAAGATTTGGAGGTGGTTTATTTCCTAGTAATAGGTCACTGAAACAGAAGTTAGTATGTGGATGTGGAGTGTTGCTATAACAAAAACCTAAAATATATGACATTGACTTTACTTCCAGACAGTAACCGGAGAGAAGACTGTTCGTGGAAGTTGGAAAAGCGGTAAGGAAATTGCTACAGAAGGCTGGAGAAAAGGCAACCCAGGTTATGTATTGGCAGAATGTTTAACATTACTGTTGCCCGTGGTACCATGAGTGATAAGACAATGTGCCTAATGAACTTGTGGATCTAGTCAAGGAGATTTCCAGGCAGAATGCTGAAAATGCCAGTGGTCTTTTTTAGCCACTTACGATAAAGTACAACAAGAAAAAAAATGCACTAAATAAAGATCTGTTTGGTTTTCAAGCAGAATTCTAGCCAATGAAAGATTTGCAAAGTAAGAAACGGTCTCAGAATAAAGATCAAATCACATGTGGCTGCAAAACTTTTTTTTATTTTTAAAATTCTAGAAAGATTTAATGTGGTACTTTGAAGACCATCTCAGGGCTTCTAAGAATCTTAAGTGCATTGTTCCTGCCTGACAAGCTCAAAGTAAAGCGAGAGATCTATTATTAGAATAATCAATGTGAATTTTGGAGCATGGAGTTAAGCCTCATTAAGATTTACAGAAATTCCACAATGTTTTTGAGAAAATTGCACTGGATATGAATTTTGGAGCATGGAATGAATCTCAGTAAGATTTACAGAAAATCCACAGAATTTTAAAGATAATTGTATTAATGAAAGGACTGCCAGGTTGGACACAGAAACAGTTGAAAAGAAGTCTCTGGGCCTTCAAGTTTCTACTAGCATGAAGCAGGTTGAGAGAGCTACTCAGGTACAAATATGGACCATTCTTAAGGAAAAGGAAACACATCTCAGAGAGTGGAATCAAGAGGCCAGAAGGCAAAGCCAAAAACCAATCAGGTGATGGATTAAAGCAAAGATTGGCAAACTACAGCCCATAAAGTCAACCCAGCCTATTTTTGGATAGCCCACAAGCTAAGAGGCCTGGCAGCTTCAGCTTTTGCTTCTTGAGAGCCAGCTTCCGTTATTATCCTGGTGTAGAGAGGAGGACCTGGCAGATGAGAGTCCAAGGGACGGAGAGAACCAGCCTGCTCTCAGCCATTCTAGCAACCCTAGCTGAGGCACCAAATGAGTGAAGTTCCTTTCCATCCTACAATCCTAGTTGAGCCGCCCCATCCAACACCATGGAGAAGAGGCAAGCTGTTGCCCCTGAGTCCTGTCCATATTGCAAAATCATGAGCAAATAAATGTTTTTATTTATGTTTGAACCATTGAGTTTGGGTGGTAATTTGTTAAAATGTAATAAGTAACTTGAGTGCATTTTAAAATCTCTGGACTGGGCAGGAGACTTTATTTGGGCTCCAGTTTCTTCATCTATAAAAATCAAGAATTGGAAATGTTAGTCTCTTAAGGACCCTCTCTGCTCTAACATTCTGTTATTGGGTGAATAATTCTATTATTCTGTAAGTTTTAGTGAGTGCCTATCACTGCTAGCTAGGCACAATTAGCATTGTTGAGGTGCAGCAGAGAAAGTGTGAACAAAATAAAGTCAAGGCTTTAGAGAACAGAATGCACAGCCGCAGACACAATCTGAGATCTGTTGTTGTAAACATTCTTCCAGCCATGGAGGAGAAAGAACGAAAAAAGGATCTTTGCACTCAGAGATAGAAAAGCTCATTTAAACTGGCAGAATTGGCCCCCCATTCCTCAGAAAGAGCAAACCATGACTTCTGATAGCTTCATTTTTATGAAAGTACCAGTGTGAAGTTCTGTAGCAAGAAGCAGACTCTGGTTATTGGACAGATCTGTATGTTTGGCTTTGCTGGATGCCCTAGACAAGCAAAAGCATTCTTCTGGCTACTTGGCTTTTAGGTATTCCACATGATTTGAATTAAATCTTATCTCCTGTAGAGGGCCTATCACAGCACAACTGGGCGTCAAGAGGCCCGGAGAAGAGAAGGGAAGCAGAATCCCGTTCACCATTACGGTCAGCCTGTGTTCTCCTTCTGTTCCAAAATGTTTAGGCTGTAAAGCTTTCAGCCTAAATTGAAGGGCTATAAATGTAAATCAGAAATTGTATCAACAGAATTGCTTTATTTTCTATTTGTCCTTCTGACAGTGCCTGTCATGTTTCATTCTGAGTGAAAGAAATGGGTAACAGTGCTCTGGGCTGAGTGTCCAGGGACCCCATTTGTGGTCTGGACTTGACTGTGAGCTTGGCAACGATGTCTTGGCTTTGCTGTTTTGTTTCCTGATTCCCAGGAGTGAAGTGACGCTTAACTGGAAAGTAAAAACGGACGTTAAGATAGACGGGGGATTAAAACAGAAGCATGAGGAGAAAGAGCTAAGTGAGGTCTGTGAAAGGGAGGAATTCTAAGGTGCAGAGAGATCTTTGGGATTCTTAGCAAAACTCTCCTGCTAGTTTGAGGTGAGTACAGTATTTGCGCAATCAACCACAAAACCATGTTTGCCTGCATGTTGCCACTGCGGTTCGTGGAAGCAGAGAGTGGAAGAAAAGCGAGAAACAGCAAAACCAAGCCAGGGAGCTAAGAGTCTGAGGAAAAACAAAAAACCCCCAGAAAAACAACGGCAGTTAGGACAGAAGGAAGGGAGGAAACTTCTTTGTTGGAAATGGAGGTTCAAAGCCACCGGCCCCACCCAGCCCGGGACGGCCTGCCACGAGTACGCGCGGGAGGCCCGGAGGGTCGCGGGGGGCGTGGAGGGAAGCCAAGCAGAGCGCGCTCGGGAAAAGGGCGCCACCCCGGGCGGGCGGGGTGGGACCTTGGCTTCGGCTTCCTACCCCCCAACCCAACTCCCACCATGGCTCCGCGTCTCCCAGCGCGCTCCGAGGCCGGGGTGTGGCCAGTCCTTTGCCCGCCAGAAGCCGGCGGATCTCCCTCCCCGCGATCCTCCCGGCAATAGCCGGTCAGAGGTTAAGCTGATATGTTTGCAGACGGTAACGGGGAGTTGGATGCCAACGGCCTAGCTCAGGGGAATCACGATTTGTTTCTTGGAACAATTCTTCCTTCCAATGCATTGACGCCTTAAAACTCTTTAAAACGTATTAACCTGATACGCAGGGCTGCGCACTCGAAAAGTGAAAGGCGAAAACTAGGCTGGTACTAGGCCTCGAGGAAGCCTCGGCGGCGCTTCATCGGACGGCAGAGCCGTGGGCGTGGGGCCGCTCCCACTGGCGCGGCGCGGGGAACGTTCCAGAGCGAGGCGTCCTCCGCGGGAGAGCGGGCGGAGCGGGGAGGGTGAGTCACCCCGACTCGGGTGCTAGCGGCCGGAGCAGGAGAAGGCGGGGCGGGGGGCGGCGGGGCGGGCCTCCCGTGCACCGCGAGGATGTGGCGGCTATAAAAGCCCCACCCAGGCCAGCTGGCTCCGCTTTGCATCTGACGACGCTCGCAGCGCCCTGCGCTTGGCCCAGGTAAGCGGGGCGCCCCGCCCGCTATGGCCCCGGGGCCGCCGCGCTGGCGGGGTGTGGAGAGCGGGGGAAGGAGACGGCCTTGCAAAGAGCAGCTCTGGAGACGGGGACTCGGGAGGCCGTCCTGGTAGGGGGCTGAAGGGACGGTCCGTACTAGGAGCTTTGCGAGGAGGGCGCCCAGTGGCGAGGGGGGTCTGAACAGGAGTGAGGGGGGCCGCGTGTTCCCCGCTCTGGGGCGTGCAGGGTAGAAGGAGGGAGTCGGGCATCCCCCCACAAGTGCTCGCAGGAAGCCCGACGGGGTGGCGCCGGGGAGGGGGGCGGAGGGAGGCCTCGCATTCCAGACGCGCCGGGCGCCGCTGGGGGGCTGGGTGTGGCCTCCCTGCGAGCCCCTGGTTGGGTGGAGAGCAGACGTGCGGCACCCTCCACGTTTAACACTAGCGCTACGGCTATCTAGAAAGTAATCCCCATCTGTTCCAAGTTAACTTTACTTGAAACAAACGAGCATTTGTGGAACTTGTGCCGACAAGCAGGAGGGAAGCAGTCGGGGGAGGATGAGGGGTGGGAGTTTTTAGCAGCAACCTCCTGCCCCAGTAAAACAAAACAACGGAAGAATCTCCCCTCATTGTCCTTTGTCTAGCTTAGCTTGTAGGAGAGCAACTTCTGATTTCCGTGTATCTGGAGAGTTTCATATTTGGTTGACTACTTTTGTATCAGGAAAGGAAGTGTTCCCCCGTGGTTCTGTGGGGAGAATCGTCACTGACTTACTGGCGCTGATGCGACATTGAGTCAGGGACAGAGGGTACAGAAAAGGGCGTGCCCCCACCCCCACCCCGGGGCTGCTCCTTGTAGCTCTGTGAGATGGGTCCCAGCGCCTGGTGGTGTAGGCCTGGATTCCATCAACTCTCGGTTAAAAAGGTGTGGACATCAATTTCCTTATCTATGAAGATGGTTTAAGAATGCACATTCTTACTTTCCCCACATAGGGTTATTATCGAAGATTCCAAAAAACATATTCATTCAAAATTAAATTTGTAAAGCACAGTGGAAACATTAAGTGCCATACCAAAACCGAGTGTCATTCTTTTTTTTTTTTTTTTTTTTTTTTTTTTG